AGGTACTGTACAGAACATACCTAGTGCTGTGTCTAATAAATGTATAATTGTTGAAATTTGAGGCTCATAAAAAACAACTTTTTATTAAAGCAAATATTGTGTGACTACATTGTGCCAGACACTGTTTCAGGACTTGGTGAAATGAAGATAAATCAGATACAATTTTGCCTTCAAGAGATGCATAGAATAGAAGGGGAATCCAGCATTTAAGTAAACAGTTAAGATTGAATGTGATCTGTGCTAAAATCGAATACAGGGGCAGGTCTGAAAGACAATGGCTGTCCTTTGAGTTGTGCAGTGCACAGTCTGAACCACTGAACACTGTGGCCCTGCCTGAGAGAGAGAAAGCCTCAGTGAAAGATGAACAGAGTCTGCATTCTTTGAACCAGGACTTGAAGGAGATAGGACTTCAGCAGGTAGAAAAGAAAAACAAGGCCATCCTTAGCACGGGGCAACAGGAATTTCAAAGATCCAAAGATGTGAAAGAGCAGCCAGCATTCTTGGGCACTGAAAAGGTATCTCTGCACATCTCCAGGTAGCGCTAGAGTGTGTGGTGAAAGGCGAGGGGTGTCTGTAGATGTGTCTGGTAATAGTTACTTTCAGCAGACTATTGTTTGTCTCAGTGAGAGGGCAAAGGTCAGCCCCGGATTATCTCACAACTACATTGTCACAAAGGATAAAGCTGTGCAGTCCAGATTCTGCTGTCAAGTGTGTGTTGTAGTGTGATTGATGTTACAATGCCAAGGTGGGGCTTGCGTTTAATGCTGGCTTTATTTTGACATGCCCTAAGTGAGGGCATTCACATTAGAGCAAATCGCTTTTTTTTTTTGAATCTTATGCTTTCATTCTCTGACAGATGACATTGAGCTCATGACCTTTTGCTAATCAATCCAATAGATACTCTTGAATTAAAGGGTGAGACAGAGCATTCCAACACTTGGTTCTTCATTTGCACATCCACACACCTGGAGGAGAAATGCACCCTCCCCCTGAAAACAGAAGTAGGAGGGGTGAACCAGGGTTGCTCTCACATCTTGACCTTGCACTTGCGTTATTTTCCAGATACAGCTGATGTTGCTTTAGAGGAGGAGGTGAAAATCACTTTAAAATAAATCAGTATGCTGAGTCCTTATAAAGGACTGGAAACCAGATTATGGTAGATAATGGCTTTGCCATTAGAAGTAGTTTAGGTGTATCCTAAATTTAATAGTAGTTTTATAATAGGAAGGGATGTGTGGTAGACTTTCAAAAAATAATTTTGATTCTACATAATTGTTTTGCCACTTTTATTAGATAATTTTTAAATAGACTTTATTTTAAAGACTTTATTTTGGAGCAATTTTAGGTTCACAGCAAAATTGAGAGGAAGGTACAGAGATTTCCCATATACCTGCTGCCCCCTACATGTGCACAGCTGGGTCCCCCACTGTTAACATCCCCCACACAGTGGTCCATTTGTTATTGATGAACCTACACTGACACATCATTATTACCCAAAGTCCAGAGATTACAACAGGGCTCACTCTTGGTGTTGTACATCCTGTGGGTTTGGACAAATGTATAATGACATGTATCTGTGTGGTAGACTGTTTAAGGATCTAATCTGTTTTGAATGCCCTCCTGGGCTGCCAGTTAACACAACACTGAGAAGGGCCCAGGCCTCGTTCGTATCGTCAGCAATCACAGGCGAGCTCTGGGGAAGCTGAATATGGTAGTGTCCCTCCTCCCAGGAACCCTAGAGGATGGAAAATAGGACAAACAAGAAATAAAGCAAAGGGAACAGCTCTTGCCAAGGTATAGAAACTGGAAAGAACATGGAATTTTCAGGGAAGGACAGAGTTCAGTTTGCATCGATCTGTTAGTGTGTGGAGGGGCTCATGGCAGGGAAGTTGAGGGTAGAGGAGGGCATTATAGAGGGGACCTTAAAAATAGAGGGGAAGTTGATTGCACACAAGTTGTTTTTTACAGTTAGTGTGTGGAGGGGCTCATGGCAGGGAAGTTGAGGGTAGAGGAGGGCATTATAGAGGGGATCTTAAAAATAGAGGGGAAGTTGATTGCACACAAGTTGTTTTTTACATTTATCCAACTGATGTACAGTGGTTTATTTTCCAAAGCTGTTGGAATGTAATTTCATGAAGTGCTGTTTCAGAGTCTTCTTGTAGTCATCTCTGGAAGAATTTTACATGCCTCAGTGAAACTTTTCATGCTTGTGTGTAACTCCTATATATTTTATGTGGAGGCATACCAACTTTATTTCTAAATTTACGACTGACATACTGAGTAAGACAGGCAGCCTATTACAACTTAATGGAAGATATGTTAAACTTTTGCTTTTGGATGATTAACTCTTCAAAATGCTTGAGATAAGATCATAGGTTTAATCCCAGTAATTGACAAGACTGTGTCTGTAACACTTACAAATAGTTACCATTAAAGCTGTGCCATCGGTTACAAAACTGGAAAAACAAAACTCTTAAAAAAATCTTCTATTAATAGCTAATGTGGTAGAAAACACCATCTCTTTACAAAAAAATGAATGGACAAATCAAAAACATCCAAAACTGTTTTTTTTTTTCCTTTTTGTCTTTTTTTTGTGACCGGCAGCGGATCGCAACCCTCAGTGTCGCGCCCGGACCGGACCGGGACCGGCAACGGGATCACAACCCTTGGTGTTGCGCCCGCACCTCGCTCAGCCAGTGAGTGGCCGGTCTGTATGTGGGATCCGAACCCTCGGCGGGAGCGCCGCCGTGCTCCCAAGCGGCGCACTGTAGCAGTGCGCCACCGGGCTGGCCCCAAAACTGTTTTTTTAATAGACTATTTCTTTAGGGCAATTTTAGGTTTACAACCAGATTGAGCAGAAGTACAGAGATTTCCCATTTACTACCTGTCCCAGAAATTTTTAGGGTTTTTTATTCCCTTTTCATAATAAAATTCCCTTTTCATAATACCAAAGGTGGACACATTGACACTTAAGTATTCAGACACCAATCTCCTAGTTAAGAAACTAGCAGAGTTTTGAGTACATGCATACATTTATGCATCCTCTGTTAAAATGTAAATAAACCAAGAAATTACTCCCATAAAAGTGGCATTGAAGTGTGGCTTCTCATACATCATTCCATCATAGCACATTTTAAGTAACTGGTTCAGAGATGTGGTTCCTATCCCTGGGAGCTAGTTCTTCTGTCTTTTCTCATCGTTGCAATAAACTCATTTCAGAAGTTGTGGCACCAAAGCTGTGTGCATAGTTTTCTTAAGAAGACTAGGGAATGAAATGGGATTTGCACCTCACTCAGAGGTATCATGAGGATTAGATGGGCCTGGCTTATGTTTGGTGCCTCGGACATAAACAAAACAAGTATCTCAGGCATTTACTCAGGTAGTGTGATGGGATCCTTTTGTCACGGAGGTGGAGGTTTCTATTTGCAGTCATCCACTACATTTTCCTCAACCACGTGCCAATGTTTAGTGGTGAAGCTCAGCTTCCAAAATTGAGCTAGAGTTTAAATTGGCATGTCAGTTATGAACAGGCCTGGTGTACTCTCAGCTGGGCTGGATGGGATTAATCGTCCTTTGGATAATACACGAGTTGATGGGTGCACATGCTAGTTGAGGTGAGTGCTTAGACTGTGATTCCGTTTCCCTGAAGCACTGTATAGACACGGCAGAATAAGTTTGCTCTGAATTGCAGACTTGAGCAGAGCAGTGTAAGAACTTTGAGCCAGGGTCTTTCTACTCCAGAGTAGGAATAGCTAGAGGAAGAATGAGAGAAGTAGGGTGAGAAGGTGACTTTGGGCTTAGCTTCAAAAACAGTCTGGGGATGGGGATCTCATAAATGGACTTTCTTTCCTGATGGATAACTGGATTCAGCACTTCTAAAATTAGGATGTTCTGGCCATGAGTATAGAAACTGTCCTCCAGACAATCTGCTTTCCACAATTCTAACCCGCACTGTAAACCCCATTTCTTGAGAAGTTATGTAATTATTTCATTAGACAATTGCATGGTGAGTCACTCTCAAATACTCTGTGTCCTCTGGAAAATGCTGTATTGTAGCAAAAAAAAAAATCTTATGCCGTGAATTAGGTTTTTCCATTAGAAATGGTTTGCTTTGTTATTTAGCTCTATAATATTAATTATGGCTCAAAATTATTACCTTACTATGATTTCTCTTGTACCCCATCATCCTTCTTTTCAACATATGTGAGTGTATGCGTGAGCATGTGTGTGGAGCAGTGTGTTTGTATCTGTGTATGCATCTGTAGTGCATTTGTGTGCATCCATGTGCACATGTTCACGTATGTGTACTGCATGGAATATTCTTTATCTGGGTGTTTTTTTGGAGGGGAGATTAGGTCTGGTTTAGTGATCTGGATGGGTGGGGATGAGAAAAGGAAATTTAAAATATTGGCCTTCAAGGCATAGGAACAAGAAAAATTTTAATTTTTTTTTAAAAATTGATTATAGAATGTTTATGTAGTTATTGTGGACCTGCTGTAATTTGAATGTTACTAATTTGAGTGAATGTTGTAATATGGATGAAGTGTGGACCTTAAAAATATCCCCCAAATGGCAAAATTACTTTTAGTGAAAGATAATAAATCATGATTATTCTGTTAAGCAGTTGTGAAGATTTCTGTCCCTTCTTCCACCCATGCTCATAAAAGGGCTCTTTTCCAACTATAGTAATTGTTACATAGCAGTTTATATATATTACCTCATTTATTATATGCAGACTCACTCCTGTCAACCAAAGTACGGAGGAATATCCCTATATGGCACTGTGCTCCATGAAGGAATCAGGACAATGCCGAACTGCCTTGGACCATTTTCAAACAAGTTCATTGAATTAAGTACTCAGATTAGTTCATTTTAATTTAAGGTTAGCCTCAGCGTACATCATAGATCCTGGGAGCCAGCATCAGCATGCTGTTCCTGTGTCACATTAACACCTGTAATGAGACTCTCTAGAAATTCTTAGGGGAGGCACTGCTGTGTGATTTTTTTTTCTTATAACTTTTAGGTATTTATGTTATCCAACTTCTACTTTTGTCTGCTTTTCTCATTCACTGCCAGATAACCTCTGTTTCTAATTTTTTTTTCTTTATAGATATTCTGTTATAAGTAATGTTGTCTAATTGTTTGGTTCAAAGGGATGCCAGTAGTGCTGATAGAAAAGATTTGTGAGGCTTGCTTGCCTGCTTCCATTTACTAGTGATGATGACGATGACGATGGTAGCAACAGTAGCAGTAGCCGCGCAGCAGCAGCAGTGACAGAAAGGCACCGTTTATGACGTAGTTACTTACCATGTGCCATGCACATGATTGACAGGCAGGATCCCATTTATACTCCTTACAGCCTGCAGGTGAGAGTATTAATCCACATCCCCATTTTATAGATGCGAAAGCTCTGCGAGTCTGGCAGGCTCAGTACTGTGTGCAAAGTTACTGAGACAGTGAGTGCAAAAGCTGGGAGATGAACTGACTTGAAGGCCCATTTTCTTTCTGTTCAGCCACATTTCAGTTTTTCCATGTTATCACTCACATCAGAACGACTACCAGCTGGGCTCACTGAAACTAGGAAATGAACAATAGGGTCAGAATCCACTCAAGGAAGATTGTCTAAGTTGATAGAAATACAACCTTGGCTCTGCTTGTTGCCATTTCGTTGTTTGAGAAATGCACTGATTTCTGATGTGAATTTGCCCTTTGGAACATTGTGGAGAAAAGCTAGTCAAATTATTGCTCCCATCTGAAAGTAAATCCATCTAAAATATCCTTTAAAGCATCTGGATCTGCAGCTCTGTGTAGGCAAGGACACATCTGGTTTTCTAGTAAAGTCACAGTCAAAGCCTCATTAGAGATTTTGGTGGGGTCTTGGCAGGGATTGATCTGTGGTAGCATGGAGGGGCAGCCAGCTGGAGCGGGAGCATCAGCACGAGAATGCCTTTGGAAATTAAACATTGTAATGAAAGCATTCTTTTGAAGGCAGATTTACAGGTGTGCTGTAAACCATTCTAGGCTATAATTGAAATATGAAAGAATCTTCAAAAGGAGTGATCTATTTTTTGGTGATTGTTGTGCTAATCCTGAAATCCTAGCATGAATTAATATAAAGACAGGATTGGGTGCATAAAAGTACCTGTTTTAATCATTTAGCATGCTGTTCAAAACTAAACTGGTTGAGGCTTCAAGTCTAAGGGTGAAAAATCTCACTTTCATCTGTCAAATCCCACCGTAATCTGCCAAGAACAGCCACCAGAGGCTCTTGTGGCAGCTGGAAAGAGAAGATCCTTCCACTCTCAAAGCTTGATATGGGGAGAGATTTGCTGCAGTTCATGTATAATAAAGTGGTAGAGAGGCAAAGCTTTTTAGTGTACTTTATTAAAGCCCAAAAAGAGTGAATACATTTTCAGTTAAAATCTAGTACTGTATGAAAATATTCTACAGTGCAGAAGCTTTCAGTTGGCACAAGATTTTTTCGTAGGAATTGAGCAGTAAGTTACTTTGTAGCAGGTGCAAGAACTGTGTTGGCCTTTGCCGGCATGCTCCATGTGGGATCATGAGGCATTCAAAAGACACAGAGGAAAGTCGGCCTTCAGGTCTTAGGGAAAAAGTCAGCTCTCTCCCTACCCTGCATGACCCCTTACCTAACACAGGTACCCACGTGCACAAACAGCAACAGTGGGTATGAATACTTCATCTGGTAACTCAGTGGAGGTTACGGTATTGTGTGGACATGGTTTCTTTTAATTTGTCCCAAAGTTAGAAAGTAAAAGCTGGATCCTTGTGCATGGGCTGGGGAACTGAAGGTAATGCAGGGTGCTTGAGTCTTGTTTCCTGTGTGGTCTTGGGATGCTTGTGGTAAGTGTGAACTAATGCTATTTTATCTTTTTATCTAGACGCACTACTTTGGCCTTTGGTTTCTCAGCAAGAGCCAGCAAGCACGATGGGTGGAGCTGGAGAAGCCTCTCAAGAAGCATCTGGACAAATTCGCTAATGAGCCTCTGCTTTTCTTTGGAGTCATGTTCTATGTGCCAAATGTGTCTTGGCTTCGGCAAGAGGCCACAAGGTAGGTGCATTTTCCCCCTGTGTTCTGTGTAAGGGTGTGGACTGATTGAGGCTTCCAGTGAAGTAGATGAGCTGGTTGATTTAGTTGTGTGTGTTTGTGTCTGTATAGTGGGGGAAGAGGGCGGGTAGTTGGGGATTGTTTACTAGTTGCTAGCCTTGGTGGTTGATCCTGAGCCAGGTAGAACTTTGTGTCTAGCAGCATAGAAATACTGGTTGAAGATTGTGGGTAAATTAGGTATGCTAGAATTTAATAAAAAACTAGCCACCTAATGCTGTTTTGTCCACTCTTTTCCTCAAAATGCCTCCAAACAAAAAGTACTATCAGACTTTGGATTTGAAGATTGGGAAGGTAACTAATGATGGGGGTAAAGTTAAGGAAGAAAATGTTGGGAGGGCAGGAATTTGGGTTGTCCCGGGTAAGTGAGAGGGGACAGGGAGCAACCAGGGAGAGGAAACCTGGATGTTAGTCCCAACCTGCTCAACCTTGGAGAAACCACCCACCATCTTTGAAGTGTTATTTTCCCCTCTCACCTGTAAAGTGAGGGATTTGTGTAAGTTCATAAGATTCTGATAGTCTACAGTTCCGTGACGGAAAACTACTTTATTGTTGGTGTTAGTATACAGTTCACTTACTGGTAAGAATTTCCCATTAAAATACCTGGAGAGTCTCCTCATCAAGTGGATATTTCCTGTAGGGAAGGGAATTGGATAAACCTACTTTTCACCTTTTCCTTGGATCTTGGCATTTGGAGTACGTGGGAAGCTAAGCTGGTGACATGCTTACAAGAAGGAACAGTATTCTAGTTATTCTCGCTTGTATAGTTTTTTGGATTTTGAAAACCTGAAATATGGATGCACTTGAAATTTTTGTATATATTTTAAGGTAGTAGTTGCTTTTTTAAAAAAATCAAAAACCGTTGTTAGGGCCGATCCCATGGATCACTTGGGAGAGCGTGGCGCTGGGAGCGCCTAGGCTGTGGGTTCAGATCCTATATAGGGATGGCTGGTGCGCTCACTGGCTGAACGTGGTGCAGACCACACCGTGCTGAGGGTTGCGATCCCCTTACTGGTCAGGAAAAAAAA